AGACACCTCCATGGGCTCCAGAGGCTGCAGGAGCAGGAGGAACGGGACAGGGGCGCAGGGCCAGCAAAGAGCCGGGCGCTGCGCAGGACATTTGGAGGAGCCAGGAGATGCAGTCTAGGTGGTGCTATTTCTCCATTTTTCACTGGACGGGTTTGGGATTTTCCTCTCCCAATTCGCTGGCTTGGTCTTCTTCTCTCTCTCTCTCTTTTTATTTTTTTTCTTTTCCCTTTCTAAAAATACTTGACAGCGATTGAAAGGTCCCTTTAATCGAGGCCACAGAGCCCTTATTAAGGGCACGGGTCGGGGTGCTGGGCCGTGCCCGGCATAACGGCTTCATTAAACCCTGCGAAAACTAATATTTATGGAATCAAATTTATGGAGGCCGAGGCCGAACTTGTGGCCTTTAATGTGTGTTGGGAGCTCAAATCCAGGCGGCTCCAGGGAGGAGGGGGTGGGGACAGGGCAGGAGAACCCAAGGGACAGGACGGGACAATGAGCGGTGACAGTCCCCAGTGCCAGCGGCAGCCAGGGCTGGACTCATACGGGTCTGGGGTCCCTGCCCCGGGTTGCAGGGGCTGTTGGCCAGAGGGAGGTATCGGCTTTTTCACCCACTGATGCCTCCAGCTTCCTGCTTTTGTCCAACCACCTCCCTAACCCTGCATCCCCATCTTCTCCTGCCAGCCCTCCCAGCTGCCTCCGCCTGCCCCATAGCGCTTTGCCCCATGCTGCCACGCTTGCTTCCCCGCAGGGATGCGGTAGGAGGGCAGGCCCCGCTGAGGGACCCCATTCGCCCCTGCAGGAGCACAGCAGCACGCACGGAGCAGGGCGAATAAGACAGGCTCTGTCCTTGCTGCTGCTCCTTCCCCTATCCCACTGCGGTCGTCGGCTCCCTAGGGCACAGGGCTCCCCAGGGGGACTTATTCTGCAGAGGGACAGGGCGCTTGGGCAGCGGTGCCACAGCACCCCAGGGGCTGCACTGGCCCACCTGAGATAAGCATTGCAGGAGAGGTGGAAACAGGGCCCAGGTGCAGCTTCTATCTGCCATCAAGCTCACCAGGCATGGACACAGGCAGGGTGAGAATCCTGTCGTCTCTTGTGCGATGTCCCCTGTGTGATGTCCCCTTTGGGGTAGGGGGCAGATTCTCTCCCTGGGTCCATAGACTCTCCTCCTGCAGGCCCCAGCTTGCACGGGGGAGCAGCACAACCCTGAGGATGGGCACACGTGTTCCTGGCTGGCAGGCTCCGAGCTGCCCAGCAGCGCTGATCCGTGTCAGAGATGGGAAATGGCCCCAGCACTTCCACTCAAGAGGAAGCTCCCTGGCTGGGATAGCCCAGAGAGCGCCAGAGCTCTGTCCACAGAGTCCCCATATGGTTCCCACTGGCCTCCACCATGCCACATACCCTGTGCCAGAGGCAGCTGCTCCCGGGACGTATCTACACCACATAAGACGCTAGCGGATGGGGAAAGGCAGGGTCCAAGCCAGCTACAGCAAGGATGGTTGTCGGCACAAGTTCCCCATGGCTTCCCCTTCCCACCACTCACCCTGCCCTGAGTGCTGCTCCCTCAGAGAGGAAATATAAAAAACACCAGGCTGCTCTTGCTCTGGGACTAGCCAGCTGTGGCTCAGCAAAGGCCCTTTCATTCCCCGTCCACAGACACAGGGGCTGCTCCGGATGTTTTTGTTTCCCCCTTGCTGCCCGTGAGAGCAGGCACCATGACTGCAGGCCCTGGGGAGCAGGGCAGTCAAGGCCATGGGTCCCGGTGCTGGCACTGCAGCCTGTCTGGGACAGTCCCTGGATGCTCTTTTGGGGTCCAGTCCTTCATAAAAGGGATGTGGACACAAGGGCAAGAAGAGCAGAACACAGGATGGATGAATGGATGGATGAATAGATGAAATGTAGAGGGACAAATGTGGTGCACTGTGTCCAGGGAGCATCTGTAACTTGCTCCAGGGACTGGGAGCGTTCAGTGCATTAGTGGATTGGTTAGTCCCTGCCCCTTGGAGGCTAGGAAATGGATTAATCTCATATTCCCTAACCCTCAACCCTTAGGGAGCTAGCATAGAAGGCATAGACTTCAGCATGGTCAGGCTGCTTTTGCCAACAAGTGGGCCTACACCCGGCTCCAGGCAACAGCAAACAGTGTGTCCCCAGTACTGGACATGCAGAAACTGGGTTCCAGCTTCCACAGAGGGCTTGGCTCCCAGGATCTGTGGGCGCCCTCCACGCACAGCCACAGCAGGACCAGCACTGAGAGACCCAGTGGCACCAGGGCTGCATCCTTCTCCTGACATGTGTGTCACATGGGTGGGACAGAGCAGGAGCAGAGGGAGCTTCACCCAAACATAGCCTTTTATTGCAAATGGACCCCAAAGTAAGGGCGAGGGGAGAATTGGTCATCTAGCCAAAACACACAACCTTGCAACACCCCTGGCTGCCTTGCATACAACCAGCAGCACCCCACCAGCTCCCCCACATCCAGCACTGGCTCCCTGGTAGGACAAGCTGGGCATGAGACAAGCTCTGTTTCAGGAAAGAGGCAAAAAAAGAGATCCCTGAGAAACTGGAAAAGGGCAGAGGCACGCCATGTCCTTGGCACAGCTCATTGCTGCAGGAGCCCGGGAGAGGAGATTGCCCTGCACAGGGAGATGCAGGAGAGGAGGCACAAGACAGAGGAGGTGGGTGCTCCGCACGGCCTCCCTCGGATGGCGGGTGAGCAGGGACACTCGAGGTGGGTGGGAGCAATCTTTCAGCTGAACAGCCCCTTCGCCTTCTTGTGCTTGGCTTTGGCCACAGGCAGCCAGAGCTTCTGACTTGGGGAGGAGGTTGGCTGGAAGCAAAGGAGACGCAGCATCAGTCCCCTGCGGGCACTCGCGCAGGCTGGATAACCATGTGCAAACAACACACACGTGTGCAGCGTGCCCACACACTGCTCAGCCGGTGCGTGCAGGGTAGCACAGGCTCAGCACCAGGCTGAGACCCCTCCTGCCCTGGAGGATCACCAGGCTGGGATGCAAGGAGAGATGCGGGCATGGGAAGGCCAGGGTGCTGAGGAAAGTGGGATCAGGCTGCTCGGTCTCCCTGCCAGCCTGGGAAGCCCCATGCTGCCACCAGCATGGAGAGGAAAGCGTGTTTCTGGTGCTGTGCTCACCGTGGCTGCCTCACTGGAAGGGGCCGTTTCATCCTCCCAGGTCTGAGGTGGCGGGTCTGGCTGCTCTGGGGTTTCTCCATCAGGTGCTGGGACCTCATCATCCCCTGGTGTGAGAGGCGGGAGAGGCAATTCAGGATTAAGGGAAGCAAGGCCAGGAAGAGGGGGCATGGAGCGCTGCTCCAGTCCATGTAAAGGAACTGGTACTAGATGAGGGAGTTCATCTCTTGAGAGGAAAAGGGTAGTGGGAGACTGCATGGGATGAGCTGCACCTGGGGCCTCTCTCCCATTCCCAGCATGGGGTCCCAGGTGCCAGGAGGGGGTCTCCCCTGCACGGCCAGGATGCTCCTCACCGGAAAGGTGCCGTTTCCGGGCCTGCTGGACCTCTTGCTGCGTCACGGCCACGTAGAGCTGCCGCAGGCTGGAGGCGAAAG